GCGTGCTGCGTATGTGTGTTTGTGATGATATGAGTAATTTGCGTGTGTGCTATCTGTTTTTCTGTTTCGTTGCTTTCTTTGGACTCTCTTGTGCCGCACAGCTGCTCTGCAATTATAGGCGCTGACAAACACACAGACACATGTAAGTACAGTCACGCCATGTTGCAAACGCTTTGGGGCTGTGTGAACGCTGAGAAGGCGTGCACACACAAGACTTTGGCTGCGGCTACCCTCGCGAGGAGGGAAGACGTGAGCCCGCGATTTGTCTTGTCGAGGTGTTGCTGTCGTTATTTTGGCGGCGTGCAGCCAGTGAGTGGTGTGGCATTGAGGGTGCCTGGGACGAGTGCGGATTTCTTCCCGTCCAGCTGCTGCGCGTGCCGATGTGTCTTTTTTGCTGTCCATCGGCTGAAGAGGGATTCTCCGGCTGTGCGGAGTGATGTGCGCCGGCGGTTGAGAAGCGGGTGCGCTGGAAGAGAGAACAGTGAGATGAGTGGCGGCAGGACTTGGGCTGTGCAAAGGACGGTCGTGCTCTCGTGCCTCCCGCTTGTTGTTTGTTTGCTTGTTTTTTTGTGAGGGCGCAGCTCGGTGTGTGCTGACGAGTGAATAACGACACACCCGCCGTGACTCCTGCTGCTGGTGGTGACAGCCGTTGTGTGTTCCCGGTGCGCTGTTCATCCATCTCCTGTTCCGTGTGTCTGTGTGCGTGAGTTTTTGTTGTGGGGAGCGACTGCGGTGCGGATGATGATGCCACTCACTGTGGATGGGTGGCGGTGCTCACTGTTTCATTCTTTTTTTATTGGCATGTTTTCTCTATTTCTCTCTCAATCGCTCACGCTAGGAGGAAAACAAGCGCTAATTGCTACTGTGGAATTTGAGGGCACTGAAAGGATCAACAACAGCACACACACCGCCCACACACACACACATATTTATATGCTCTCACGTCTTGCTGCAGTGAAGGCACCCCGCACACACAACCGTCGCCGCGTGACCGGATCCAGCGGAAGGAGGAGGGAAGGAAGAGAGAGTGAGCAGCAAAGGCCCAACATGTCCCGGCGTGTGTTTACTTCTGCGGTGCTGCTCCTTCTTGTCGTTATCATGATTTGCTGCGACAGTGGAAGTGCTCAGGCGGAGGTGCAGCAGTCGTCTGATCCAAAGCCATGTCGGGTTTCTTCGCCGGAGAAATTCTTTGTTTGGAGAGACAAGAAAAATGATGAAGCAGTGAGTTCGCTCCGTGTTCCCAGTCTTGTTGAGGTGAATGGTGGTGTGTTTGCCGTTGCGGAGGCGCAGTGCACGAAAAACAATAATTGCGGTTTTACTGGGATTGCCTCGGAGTTGTTGACCTTGACTGATGAAAAGCCAAATGAGTTGGATAAAAGTAAATTGAAGACACAAGTACTGGGGAATTGTTCTTCCGAAAACGAGGAATGCCCCTCCCAAACAGCAGTTCTGGTTGGCACTCAAAGAGTGAAGAAAGTATATGTGAGGCGACCAACAACAGTTGTGAATGGAAGTGACATTTACATGCTTGCTGGAAACTACAGTTGGACATATGAAGCTAAGAAGGATTCTGTGTTTCAATGGGGACTATTGCTGGTAAAAGGTAACGTCGGTAATGAAGAAGGCAGTACCAATAGAATACAATGGAAAGATACTTACGATCTCCCATGGATTTCTAGCGGCAGAGAGAAAAAATTCTTGACAGGGCTGTTAGGCGGCGGCGGATCGGGTATTAAGACAAAAGGCGATACTCTCTTGTTTCCAGTGGAAGGCACAAAAGAGGATGGGAAAGCCGTTTCGCTGATTATGTACTCCTCGGACACTGCGGGTTGGGTTGTATCGAGGGAGATGTCTGACGATGGCTGCAGTGATCCCTCCGTCGTGGAGTGGAAGGGAAAACTCATGATGATGACTGCATGTGATGATGGCCGCCGCAGGGTATATGAGTTTACTCTAACGGAGTCGTGGACGGAGGCACTCGGGACCCTCTCGCGCGTGTGGGGCAGCGAACACACGGGACATGAGAAGGGCGTTCGAAGCGGGTTTACCACAGCGAGGATTGAGGAAAAGGACGTGATGCTCGTTACTCTGCCGGTGTATCCTGAGAATGAAGGAAAAGGCAATGAAAAAGTTGAGCTCCATCTTTGGCTAACGGACAATACGCACATTGCTGATATTGGACCGGTATCCGGGAACGATAACGACGTTGCCGCCAGCTCCCTGTTGTACAAAAGTGGTGGAAATAATAATAATGAGAAGTTGATTGCACTGTACGAGAAGAAGGGCGGTGGGGATACACCATCACTCGGTATGGTCTCTGTGCTTCTGACTGCGCAGCTGGAGCGGGTGAAGGAGGTGCTGACGACCTGGAAGGAGGTGGACAAACGTGTCTCCAAGCTGTGCCCTCCTTCAAGTGCTAACGAAGGTCGGTTGACTGACAGCGCCTGCAGCGCTGGTAAGATCACGGCTGGGCTGGTTGGCTTTTTGTCCGGCAACTTCTCTGAGAACACGTGGAGGGACGAGTACCTCGGAGTGAACGCCACAGTAACGAGCGGTGTTGGGACGGGAAATGGCGTGACGTTCACGGGGCGTGGCGCAGGGGCTGAGTGGCCCGTTGGCAAGCAAGGGAAGAATCAGCTGTACCACTTTGCGAATTACAACTTCACTCTTGTGGCGACGGTGTCCATCCACAAGGCGCCGGAGGGAGTTACCCCTATTCCTTTGATGGGTGTGAAGAAGATGAATGGTGGTAAGAGTACTGTATTCCTGGGACTTTCGTACAACAAAGAAAGGAAGTGGGAATTGCTGCAGAGTGGCGGAACGCGCAATGCTCTCAGCGGCACGTGGGGGACAGATGCAACGCACCAAGTGGCCATTGTGCTACAGAACGGGAAACAGGGCTCCGTTTACGTCGATGGTCAGCGTGTGTGTGAGAGTGTGCAAAGTAACTGGGAAAATACAGAATCGAAAGGGATCTCTCACTTCTCCATTGGAGGGGATGGGGGCAGCGCAGGGAGCGAAGAAGTCGTGTCTGTGACTGTGACGAACGTCCTGCTGTACAACCGCCCGTTGAGCTCCGAAGAGATTGCAGGGCTTGCCAAAAATAAAATTAATATTCCAAAGCCAGTGGCTGCGCGTACTCGTTCACCTGCTGTGTCTCGCCCGAAGCGCTCTTCTGAATCCTTGGCGGGAGGAGCAACGGGTGTCGGCACCGCTCGTCACTTTGCGGCAAATGGTGATGGCAGCACTGTTTGCGGAAGCGGACTGCTGCCGCTGCTCCTTCTGTTGGGACTGTGGGGATTTGCGGCTTTGTGAGGAGTGACTGGCTGCCGCGTGGGACACTTGCGCCCTCCCCACCACAGAATTACTTTCCCATGGGAACGAATTTCTTTCATAAATCCTTTTTTTTTGTGTGTATTTTAAATTTATTTGCTGTTTGCTACTTTCTTGTTTTTTGTTTTTTTTTCTTTCTTTAAAATTTCTTTTGTTTTTATTTCCCATTCCCCCATCCCACCTTTTTTGCTTTTGGGGCAGTCACTATGGACGTTTTTTTCTTTTCTACTCTTCCCTCTTTTAATTGTTTCTTCTGCACTCTTCCTGTGAGGGGTGCCGTGTGTTTCCCGCCCAACTGCTCCACTCGCACACCCACCGACACGCTCATGACGACGGCCCTGTGCGCCTCGCCTGCTGCACGCATGAGGAGGGGCCGCGACGAACGGCGCGCTGAGGGAGCCGTGACGTGTGGGCGTGCGACGAGGGCCTGTGGGCGGAGCACACATTTCTTTCCTCTTGTTTTGTTTCTTTGCGGCCAGGGCGGGCAGACACCCGCAGCGTCACACACACACACAGCCAAACCCTGCCACCGTGTTTTTAAGATTTTTTTTTGCTTTGCTTGTGCATTTCACGCGCTGGCAGTCCCGTCAGCATTTCTTTTTCTCTCCTGATGTTTTTTTTTTTACCGCGCTCACTCTCCCGATGGAGTGACGCGACTCCCGTCATGTCTGCGTGCTTCTCTTAGTCCCCCCACATACACACGAGTGACTGTGCTCTGCGGGCCGCACTCACGCGCCGATGAGAGGGCTGAGGGGAGCAGCAACCCGCAGATGACCCCATGAAATATAAGCGATGCGCGGACACACAGAGGGTCAGACGGTTGAAGCACACGCAACCATCTTTTTAATTTTCTTTTCCGGGCAAAATATATACAGACAGTTTGGTGTGGCCACACGGCAGCCAGGCGAATTTTCTATTTTTAAATTTGTGTGGAACAGTAGTGGACGATTTCTTTTTCATTTATAATTATTTTGTGTGATGGGGTTTGTGTAAGACGAAGGGAAACGTTTTTTTTTTAAATAAATCTTGTGTGAATTGCCACCGCTTGGGCTGCAGTGCAGTCATGAGTTTGAGCGGTCTTCTTGTTGTTGCTTCCGCCATGCACCTTCGCTGTAAATTTTAGTTTGTGCGTTTATATTTGTTGCTCTTCTTTTTCTTCTTTGCTTTGTGTTTCTGCAGGCACACACAACCACACACACACAAGATGCACATTGCAGTGTATTTGAATGCACCTTTTGTAGTGCATGCTGGCATTTGTGTGTGGCGGCTGTTTTCTTTTTACGTGGCTATGAGGAGAAGGGAAGAGGGAGAGGGAGTGCGCAGCCCGCGTCTCCCTTTCTGCGGGTGTGGTGCACTGCGTGTGACTGCGTTGAGTTGGGCTCCGTGTCCCATTGAGGGCGGGATGGCAGGAATTTTTGTGCCGCGTCGTGGATGGATGAGGGTTCGGTTGCGCGTGTGCGTTGTGTGGTGGCCGCGTGTTTTGGCCATTTCCCTGGGGCTGCAGGAATGAGCTGGGTGGAGATGGTGGTGGATATCTTCTCCTCCTGCATGGTGCGTGGCTGCTGGCGTTGTGTGCCTTCCTTGCGTGGATGCCGTCTCGTGGTGTGTGAACTGTGTGGCTGGGCCTGCTGCCCTCTCCTCATGTTGTCTGCTCTCTCTCGCTGTATCCGCGGTGCTCCGTCCCTCTCCCTCTTGTTGCATTCTTTTCCTTCTGTCTCAAGGATCAGCTGACTGGCTCCAGCGACTCCACTACGCGTGACAATGACAGCGATGATGACGATGGTGACGGTGCGGCGCCGTGTTGGTCCTTACACTCTCGTGCTGCTGCTTGTCCGTTTCTGTGACAGCTACTGGGAGTCCTGGACATGTATCTGGTGATGCGAATGCGGTGGTTGTGTCGGTGGATGTGTCGTGTGCTCCGAGTGACGGCAGCCTGAGGTATCGCGTGCGTGTGTGTGTGTGTGTGTGTGGGCATGGAAGAAGTGTTCTGCTGCCAGTGCTGAGGCTCAGCATGAGAATTATACTTTCAGTGGCTTTGATGTGCGCATGCATGGCAGGAATGGTGAGCTGGGTGCTGTGTGCCATGTGGTCAATGCGATGCACACATGTAGCAACTGTGCTGCCAACTGTGCTACGAAAGAGGAAGGGGCCACCGTTGCCTTCACGATGAATGTGACGACACATAAATACGCCGGCCCTTATGAATTGTGGTGGCGACAATTTTCTCCCGATGGAACCATCCATCCGCCTGCACGGAGCAGCGATGCTGACCGGACGGGCATCTGTCAGTTGCCGCCACCCCGTGAAGGGAAGAATGACACAAAATCTGGTGGGACAACTGCGCCGCAAGTTAATGCTGAGCCGTCACGTCAAAACGAGGATTGGCGACAGTCTGCTGCAGCTGACGCATCCAACACCGTCGATCCGAGTCCCGCATCCAACACGGCGGCCAACACTTTCGAGAAGAGGCCTGAGTTTGCCACCAATCCGAGCGAAATGATGGTCCCGAATGCATCCAAGAAGAGGCTTTCATTTGCCAACGGTCCGAAAATAGTAGTGGCGCTGAATGCATCCGAGATCATGTCTGTCACTTATGGCGGCAGGGAACACGTTGCTGCGGATAACACGGACGAGGTGAGTGAGCGCAACGCCACCGGACACGAATCTCTCGTTTTAGAAAATATCGTTGCAGGCAGTGGATTTGTTGCTGAGGGTGATGCGGGCGGATTGAGTCAACGCAGTGCCTCTGGACACGAAAACCCCAATTACGAGAATTCACCGCGCGGTATTCTGGGAGCAGCGGGAGTCTACACGACTGCTTTGCCCTGCTCTACGACGCGAAATTGACACTGCGTGAGTTAACTGTTGACAGTACTGTGCGTATGTGCGTGTATTGGGTGTTGCTGCTTCTTTTGGGATTGTGTGGAGTTGTGGCGGTCTTCTGAGCCGAAGAGTGTGGAATTGCGACTCCTCACGGGGAATATGTGCCGCGTTGCATGCGTGTTTTCTTTTATTATTCACGTTTTACTGTTAGTTTTTTTTTTGTTGTTTTCCTGGAATGATACGTATCCTTGCTGTTTCTTTATTCAATGGTCGGTTGCTGCACACTGTCATGAGCGACATGTTTCTCCTCTTCGTTTTGTTTCTTGTTGCTCTAACTTGGTGCCAGCCTCACTGCTCTGTGTTCCACGGACTGCACAAAAGAAGGATTGGAGGAACAGGCCGGATGCCGGACGAAATGTGAAGAAAGTTGTGTGGGCTCACTTAACAGTACGATCTTTTTATGTTATATTTGGTGTGGGCATTATGTATGCACAAAGACATGCTCTTTTTTTGCTGCCTGAAACAAGAAATCAAAGTCCTGCTGGATCGATTTTTTTTTTGTTCTTTTTGGAGTCCTGCCGGAGCGTCATTTTTTTTTTTTTTCTTTTGTTTGGAAGTTATGAAGAGAATGGTTGCAGGAGAGCTGGCTGAATTAACCTAATATATATCCTGATAAAATGAACCCACTCCTTTGCGACACCCTTCCTATCTTATAAATTTGGGAAGAACACGAATTTATGGGGAACAGGGAACCGATAGAGGCCAGACAATTTTTAAATTTACAGACACAGCGAGGTTGGCTTAAGGAAATGGCGTTGGTTCCTATTAAACGGCCTCCGAGTGGAGCGATATTGGCGCCCGACATTCAGAATTGGTACGCCAACATGGCGCTGCCCAGGCGCAGCTCACCTTCATTGATGAAACCGGGAATTCGGATGCGACGTTAACCGCGGCCGCCTCAACGACAGAATTGCGCATGGATTTCGGGACCCACCACCAAACCCTGGGCGGATTCGGGCCTTACAGGACATGTTGCGAATCTCCGGGCGCCCCAAGTACCACATTTTGAGACCCGATCGCTCCTGCCCATCGTGCGGGCGCGGCCCGGGAGTTGGGGGTCCATCGAGGGCCCATCCTCGCGGAAGGGGAGCGCTTGGGCACGGACCACGCCTATGCCATCGGGGGCGCGCGGGATCGAAACACCGAGCTTCACACGCGGGCGGAAGAGGCGCATAATAGCCTATCGGCGCGCGAAGCTAGAATGCGCGGTCGCCGGACGCGAACAGCAGTTGGAGGCGACCCGCGCCCAACT